TTGTCTAGTAGTCCTCCCTCCATAACGAAGTGCAACACCTGCTCATTAGACATCCCCTGGTAGGGCTGCTCTGCTAGCGTGGCCATCTCCCATAACACCACCCCAAAAGACCTGCAGAGAGAGAGAGAGGAGACAGGGTTACAATCAATTTCAATCAATTTTATTTTATATAGCCCTTCGTACATCAGCTAATATCTCGAAGTGCTGTACAGAAACCCAGCCTAAAACCCCAAACAGCTAGTAATGCAGGTGTAGAAGCACGGTGGCTAGGAAAAACTCCCTAGAAAGGCCAAAACCTAGGAAGAAACCTAGAGAGGAACCAGGCTATGAGGGGTGCCCAGTCCTCTTCTGGCTGACACACACCCTAACCCTACACACCCTAACCCTTATTACACCCATAAACACTATACACACGAACCCGGACATCACCCGAACCCGACACAAACAAAGAAACAGAACCAACAAAACCCGAAACACGAAAACCGAAAAGACAAAACGAAAACCAGAACCACACACAGAAAAACGAAACAACAGAACCGACACACCAGAACACAGGACACAAACCGAAACACAAGAAACAGAACAAAACCCGAAAACCGACACACCCGAACCGAAACCCAACCGAAAACAGAACACCAAACCGAGACACCAAACCCGACACACCCGAACTCCGAAACACCCGAACGAAAACCGAACCAAAAGAACACGACACACCCGAAACCCGAGACACCCGAACCCGAACACCCGAACCCCGACAACAACCAGAACACCCCACAACACCCGAACCCGACACACCGAAAAACCCGAAAACACAAACCAGAAAATGACACACCTGAAAACCAGAGAACCCGAGACACCAACCAGAAAACCAAACCGAAACCCGAACTCAGAAAATAACCCGAACCAGCAAACCCGAAACCGAAAACACCAAACGAGACAACCCGAACCAGACACACCCGAAACCCGAAACCCGAGAACACCGAAAACGAAGAACCCGAACCGAACACCGAACCCGAGAGACACCCGAACCGAACACACCGAACAAGAACAAAACCGAACCCGAGAACACCCGAACCAACACACCGAAAAAAAACCCGAAAACGACACCCGAAACCCGAGCACCCGAACGAAACAAGACCCGAGAAAACCGAACACAACACCCGAACCGAAAACCCGAACCCGACCACACCGAAACCCGACAAGACACCCGAAACCCCGACAACCCTAAAACGAAACCCAGAAAACCGAACCCAGAAACACCCGGACACCGACACGACACACTACCGAAAGAAAACCGAACCGAGGACACCCGAACCGACACACCCGAAACCTGAACACCCGAACCAGAGGACACCCGAACCGAACACACCCGAACAAACCGAAACAGACACCGAACCGAACACCCAGAACCCGACACACCCACCCGAAACCCGAACCCGAGACACCCGAACCCGAAAAGGAAAACAGAAACCCAGACAACCAGAAAGGACACACCAACAAGACAGAAGAGGACACCAACAGAAAAGAGACACCGAAACAGAAACACAACCAAGAACCAGAACCAGACAACCCGAAAAGAACACCCAAAAAACAACCCGAACGAGAAAAGAAAGCCAACCGACAGAACCCGAGAAACACCCGAAAAACCGACAAACAACAAACAGAGACAACCCGAACCCGACACACCGAACCCGAAACCGAAACCAGAGACACCCGAAACCGAAAGACAAACATGAAAAACCGAAACACCCGAAACCCGAGACACCGAAAAAAACCCAGACACACACGAACCAGAGACACACGAACCGAGACACCCGATAACCCGGAACACCCTAAGAGACACCCGAAACCCGAGACACGAAAGAAACACCCGAACCCAGACACCGACAAAACCCGACACAGACACCGAGACAACCCAACCCGAAAAGACAACCGGAAAACAACCGAACAAAAACCAAACCAGAAAAACACAGAACACCGAACCAAACAAAAAAACAAACCCGAACGAACACGAACACAAAAAAGAACCAACCGAGAACACCCGAAAGACAAGAGAAACCCGAAAACATACACAACCAACACCTACACAACCCTAACACTAGAAACCCAACCAGACAACCCGAACCACGAAACTCAAAACACCAGAACAAACCCACCAACCAACCCGAGACACCCGATAACCCGTACAACCCCCAACACCCACACACCCTGAACTACACACCCAATCCCAACACCAAACCATAACCCAACCCTAACACACCCTGAACCGACACACCCTACCCAACACCCAAAACCCGACACACCCTAAACCCGATACACCGAAACCGATAGCAACCCGTACCCAAGACCCTAACCGAAACCTACCGTATACCCGTAACCCGAACCATACTAACCCTAATACGACACACCCTAAACCGTAACACCCGTAACCTAAACCATAACGATAACCTACAACCTGAACCCTACACACCCTAACCCTACACACCCTAACCTATACACCCTAACCCTATACACCCGTAACCCTGTAACACCCTAAACCCTACACACCCTAATACAGAACTACTAAGCCTGTATATACCTTCGTAAAGCTGTATATAGCCTGTAAGACCCCGTATGAGCCCGTATAGAGCCGTATATAGCCCGTATAAGCCTGTTGATGATAGCCTGTATAGAAACCGTACAGACCTGTAAGAGCCTGTACATAGCCTGTACAGAGCCTGTAGATAGCCTGATATAGCTGTATATAGCCTGTATAGAGCCTTTAGAGCCTGTATAGCTGTAATAGCCTGTATAAGCCTGTATAGAGCCTGTATAAGCTATAGAGCCTGTAAAGCCTGTAACTAGCCTTATAAGCCTGTAGAGCCGTAATAGCCGTATAAGCCTGTATATAGCCCTTATAGGCCTGAATAGCCCGTATAGAGCCTGTATAGAGCCTGTATATAGCCTGTATAGAGCCTGTATAAGCTGTAATAGCCTGTATAGAGCCGTATAGAGCCCGTATATAGCCCGTAAATAGCCGTAAAGCCTTCGTATAAGCTATATAGCCTGTATAGAGCCTGTTACAGAGCCTGTAATAAGCCTGTAATAGCCTGTATATAGCCTGTATAGAGCCTGTATAACTGTATAAACCTGTATATAGCCGTATAGAGCCGGTATAGAGCTGTATATAGCTGTATATAGCCTGTATAGAGCCGTTATAGGTAGCCTGTATAGAGCCTGTATAAGTGTATATGCTGTATAGAGCCTGTATAGAGCTGTATAGCCCGTATATAGCCTGTATATAGCCTGTATATAGCTGTATAGAGCCTGTATATAAACCTGTATAGAGCTGTATAAGCCTGTATATAGCCTGTATATAGCCTGTATATAGCTGTATATAGCCTGTATAGAGCCTGTTAGAGCTGTATATAGCCTGTATATAGCTGTATAGAGCCTTAATAGCTGTATAGAGCCTGTATAGAGCCTGTATATAGCCTGTAATAGGAGGCCTGTATATAGCCCGTATAGAGCCTGTATAGAGCCTGTATAGGCCTGTATATAGCCTGTATAGAGCCCGTATATGTGTATAGGCCTGTATAGAGCCTGTATATAGCTGTATAGAGCCTGTATAGGCCTGTATATAGCCTGTATAGAGCTGTATAGAGCCTTTTATATAGCTGTATATAGCCTGTATATAGAGCCTGTATATAGCCTGTATATAGCCGTATAGAGCCTGTATAAGCTGTATATAGCTGTATATAGCCTGTATAGAGCCTGTATTAGCCTGTATAGAGCCTGTTATAGCCTGTATAGAGCCTGTATATAGCCTGTATATAGCCTTTGGCTGTATATAGCCTGTATAGCTGTATAGCCCGTATAGAGCCTGTATATAGCCTGTATATAGCCTGTATATAGCTGTATAAGCCTGTATATAGCTGTATAGGCCTGTATAGAGCCTGTAATAGCCTGTATAGAGCCTGTATATAGCCTGTATATAGCCTGTATAGAGCCTGTCTATAGCCTGTATATAGCCTGTATATAGCTGTATAGAGCTGTATATAGCCTGTATAGAGCCTGTATAGAGCCTGTATATAGCCTGTATAGAGCCTGTATAGAGCCTGTATAGAGCCTGTATATAGCCTGTATATAGCCTGTATATAGCCTGTATATAGCTGTATATAGCTTGTATATAGCTGTATATAGCCTGTATATAGCTGTATATAGCCTGTATATAGCCTGTATAGAGCCTGTCTATAGCCTGTATAGAGCCTGTATATAGCCTGTATATAGCTGTATAGCCTTATATAGCCTGTATATAGCCTGTATATAGCCTGTATAGAGCCTGTTTTTTATAGCCTGTATATAGCTGTATAGGCTGTAATAGCCTGTATATAGCTGTATAGAGCCCGTATAAGCCTGTATATAGCCCGTATATAGCATGTGATATAGCCTGTATATAGCCTTGTAGCCTGTATGTAGCCCGTATATAGCCCGATATAGCCTGTATATAGCCTGTATGAGCCTGTATATAGCCGTATAGAGCCTGTATATAGCCTGTATAAGCCTGTATTAGCCTGTATATAAGCCTGTATATAGCCTGTCTATAGCCTGTTATAAACCTGTATATAGCTGTATAGAGCCTGTATATAGCCTGTATAGCGTATGAGCCTGTATAGAGCCTGTATATAGCCTGTATATAGCCTGTATATAGCTGTATATAGCCTTGTAATATAGCCTTATATCCTGTATATAGCCTGTATATAGCCTGTATATAGCCTGATAAGCTGTATAGCCGTCTATAGCCTGTATAGAGCCTGTATATAGCCTGTATATAGCCTGTATATAGCCTGTATATAGCTGTATAGAGCCTGTATATAGCCTGTATAGAGCCTGTATAGAGCCTGTATATAGCCTGTATATAGCTGTATAGAGCCTGTATATAGCTGTATATAGCCTGTATAGAGCCTGTATATAGCTGTATAGAGCCCGTATATAGCCTGTATAGAGCCTGTATATAGCCTGTATATAGCCTGTTAGTAGCCTGTATATAGCCTGTATAGAGCGATAGCTGTATATAGCCTGTATAGAGCCTGTATAGAGCCTGTATATAGCCGTATAGCGAAGCCTGTATAGAGCCTGATATAGCCTGTATATAGCCTGTATATAGCTGTATGAGCGTATAGCCTGTATATAGCCTGTATATAGCGTATAGAGCCTGTATATAGCCTGTATATAGCTGTATAAACGATGAGCCTGTATAGAGCCTGTATATAGCCTGTATAGCTGTATAGAGCCTGTATATAGCCGTATATAGCCTGTATAGGCCTGTATAATAGACTGTATATAGCTGTATAGAGCCTGTATATAGCCTGTATAGAGCTGTATATGAGCCTGATATAGCCTGTATATAGCCTGTATTAGCCTGTATAGAGCCTGTCTATAGCCTGTATATAGTGATAAGCTGTATAGAGCCTGTATAGAGCTGTATAGAGCCTGTATAGAGCCTGTTTTATAGCGTATTTTATTTATATAGATGATTAGCTGATCGAGCCTGTATAGCAGTGATAAGCCTGTATAAGTCTGTATAGGCCTTTATGAGCCTGTGTATAGCCGTAAGGCTGTAAGAGCCTGTAATATACGTATGGCCAGTATAAGCCATAAGCTGTATAGTAGCACGATTGCCTGTATGGTCCTGCATAGAGCCTGTAATAGCCTGTATAAGCGTAAGAGCTGTATATCGCCTGTACTAGCTGTCTCAAGCCTGATAGAGCCGGTGTCTATATAGCCTATAGAGCCGGATATACCTGGTATAAGCCTGTAGGAAGAGAGGGAGGGAAGGGAGAGGAAGAGGGAGAGCAGAAGGGAGGCCGTATAGAGGTAAGAGCGTTATATAGGGAGAGAGCGTAGAGGGGGCGGGATAGATGTAGAGAGACTGAATAGCTGGAAGGAGAGCAGAAGAAGAGCCGTATAAGGGTGAAGGAGAGCCGTAAGGAGAAAGGATAGAGAGGAGAAGCTATAGAGAAGAAGGATGTTAGTAAGGGTGTAGTAGGTAAGACGTTATAGCAGCGGTTAGTAGGATACATAGTATAATAGTCATAGGATAGATAAGTGATATTGTAGTCATTGGTAGAGTGAACTGTTATGTATTGGTTTAGTAGTGTACACTCTGTTTACTGTCATTTGGTTTAGTAGTGTACACTCTGTTTACTGTCATTTGGTTTAGTAGTGTACTCTGTTTACTGTCATTTGGTTTAGTAGTGTACACTCTGTTTACTGTCATTTGGTTTAGTAGTGTACACTCTGTTTACTGTCATTTGGTTTAGTAGTGTACACTCTGTTTACTGTCATCTGGTTTAGTAGTGTACACTCTGTTTACTGTCATTTGGTTTAGTAGTGTACACTCTGTTTACTGTCATTTGGTTTAGTAGTGTACACTCTGTTTACTGTCATTTGGTTTAGTAGTGTACACTCTGTTTACTGTCATTTGGTTTAGTAGTGTACACTCTGTTTACTGTCATCTGGTTTAGTAGTGTACACTCTGTTTACTGTCATTTGGTTTAGTAGTGTACACTGTTTCTGAGAAGGAAAAGGTGGAGCAGTTTGAGTCTAATATAAACGGTAGTGAGGCCTACTGGTCAGCTCTGCCTTAAACAGACCGACAGAAGCTGGACTGGGACTTGTTCCCCTCTCTCTCAAAACATCTACAGGCTAAATGGCTTCCCAACGGGGGACACATGGAGAGAGGGAGAGAGGGGGGCTTTTCTACAGGGTTGGTTTGGCTCCATTCCTTTTAAACGGAGTCACTCCTGGAAGTCAACTACTAAAGACATTCTCCAGAATGGATAAATCCTCATTGAAATGAGAAGGTGAATAGTTGAATGGTGAAGTTACCAGACGTCAGAGGTAGTGGTGAACACTCCGTCTTTAAGGGACTCGGGGGACATCCATCGGACCGGCAGCAACCCCTTCCCTCCTTTACGGTAGTAGTCTGTCTCATAGATGTCTCTGGTCATACCAAAATCTACACACACAGGGAAGACGGGGAAAATGGCTTCAAATGTCATTATCTGCAGAAACAGCTGTTCACATCAATATACTAGGCTAAATTACAAGTCTAATTGAATTGTATTTATTTAGGAGGATGTCTGGGTGTGTGTTTTGTGTGTGTGTGTGTTGTGTGTGTGTGTGTGTTTTGTGTGTGTGTGGTTTGTGTGTGTTTTGTGTGTGTTGTGTGTGTGTGTGGTTTTTGTGTGTGTGTGTGTGTGTTTGTGGGTGTTGTTTGTGGTGTGTGTTTTTGTGTGTGTGTGTGTGTTTTGTGTGTTTGTGTGTGTGTGTGTGTGTGTGTGTGTGTATGTGTGTGTGTCTTGTGTGTGTATTGTGTGTGTGTTTGTGTGTGTGTCTTGTGTGTGTTTGTGTGTGTCTTTGTGTGTTTGTGTGTGTCTGTGGTGTTGTGTTGTTTTGTGTGTGTGTTTTGTGTGTATTGGTGTGTGTTGTTGGTGTGTTTGGTCTGTGTGGTCTCTGTGTGTGTGTTGTGTGTGTGGTGTGTGTGTGTGTGTGTGTGTCTCTGTGGTGTTTGTGTTATGTGTGTGTGTTGTGTGTGTGGGGTGGTTGGTATGTGTGTGGGTATTATGAAGGTGTGGTGTGTGGTGTGTTTGTGGTGGTGTTGGGGGTCTGTGTGTGTCTCCTGTTGTGTGTGGTGTGCCCGGTGTGGTGGTTGTGTGTGTGTGTGGGTGTGGTGTGTGATTGTGTGTGTGGGTCTTGTGTGGTGTGATGTGTGTGTGTGGGTCTGGGTGTTTGTGTGTTTGTATGTTGTCTGTTGTGTCTAGTGTGTGTGTGTGTGTGTGTGTGTTTGTGTTGGGCTGTGTTGGTTCTGTGTTGTGTGTGTGTGTGTGTGTTGTGTGTTGTGTGTTGTGTGTGTGGTGTGTGGTGTGATGTGTTGTGTGTGTTGTGTGTGTGTGTGTGTTCCGTACCCCCTATCTTGACGGTGTAGTCGGCTCCCACCATGCAGTTCCTAGCGGCCAGGTCTCTGTGGACAAACTTGTTAGCGTTGAGGTAAGACATCCCGTCAGCTATCTCCCCAGCCATCTGAATAATCTCCTTCAGAGGAGGGAGGTTGGCACTGTAGGACTGGGACGGCTGGAGGAGGAGAGAGGAGGAGAGAGGAGGAGAGAGGAGGTGAAGAGCATGACAGAGTAGGAAGGTTCAGGTAGGGAGAGAGGGTGAGGTATTGAAGGGTTAGGGGGTAGGGGTTAGGGGTAGTGTAGGGCAACTAGGTAACTTACGTCTTTAGCCTGTAACGTAAGGGTGCCGGAGGGTGTGTTTTACGGGCTCCTAACCAACTGTGCAATTCTGTTCGTTTTTTTGCATTGTTTGTAACTTATTTTGTACATAAAGTTGATGCTACCGTCTCTTATGACTGAAAAGAGCTTCTGGACATCAGAACACTGATTACTCACCTCGAACTGGACAAAGATCATTTATTTAATGAGTCCGATGTGAAGGATATATAATTAGTCGGCGAGTGGGTAACCCGCCTCTACCATCCGTCCTATTGGCCAACGTGCAATCACTGGAGAATAAACTGGACGAGCTCCGTTCGAGACTATCCTACCAACGGGACATTAAAAACTGTAACATCTTATGTTTCACCGAGTCGTGGCTGAACGACGACACGGATAATATTCAGTTGGCTGGGTTTTCCGTGCATCGGCAGGACAGAACCGCTACATCTGGTAAGACGAGGGGTGGGGGGGTGTGTCTATTTGTCAATAACAGCTGGTGTCTAATATTAAGGAAGTCTCAAGATTTTGCTCGCCTGAGGTAGAGTACCTCATGATAAGCTGTAGACCCACTATCTACCAAGAGAGTTTCATCTATATTATTCGTAGCCGTTTATTTACCACCACAAACCAATGCTGGCACTAAGACCGCACTCAACAAGCTGTGTAAGGCCATAAGCAAACAAGAAAATGCTCATCCAGAAGCAGTGCTCCTAGTGGCCGGGGACTTTAATGCAGGCAAACTTAAATCTGTTTTACCTCATTTCTACCAGCATGTCACATGTGCAACCAGAGGAAAAAAACTCTAGACCACCTTTACTCCACACACAGAGACGCATACAAAGCTCTCCCTCGCCCTCCATTTGGCAAATCTGACCATAACTCTATCCTCCTGATTCCTGCTTACAGCAAAAACTAAAGCAGGAAGTACCAGTGACTCGGTTAATAAGGAAGTGGTCAGATGACGCGGATGCTACGCTACAGGACTGTTTTGCTAGCACAGACTGGAATATGTTCCGGGATTCACCTCAGTCACCAGCTTCATCAATAAGTGCATTGTCCCCACAGCGACCGTACGTACATATCCCAACCAGAAGCCCTGGATTATAGGCAACATCTGCACCGAGCTAAAGGGTAGAGCTGCCGCTTTCAAGGAGCTGGACACTAATCCGGACACTTATAAGAAATCATACTATGCCCTCAGACGAACCATCAAACAGGCAAAGCGTCAATACAGAACTAAGATTGAATCCTACTACACCGGCTCTGATGCTCGTCGGATGTGGCAGGACTTGCAAACTATTACAGATTTCAAAGGAAAATCCAGCCGCGAGCTGCCCAGCGACACGAGCCTACCAGACGGGCTAAATGCCTTTTATGCTCGCTTCGAGGCAAGCAACATTGAAGCATGCATGAGAGCACCAGCTGTTCCGAATGACTATGTGATCACGCTCTCCATAGCCGATGTGAGCAAGACCTTTAAACTGGTCAACATTCACAAGGCCGCCGGGCCAGACGGATTACCAGGACGTGTACTCAGAGCATGCACGGACCAACTGGCAAGTGTCTTCACTGACATTTTCAACCTCTCCCTGACCGAGTCTGTAATACCTACATGTTTCAAGCAGACCACCATAGTCCCTGTGCCCAAGAAAGCGAAGGTAACCTGCCTAAATGACTACCGCCTCGTAGCACTCATGTCGGTAGCCATGAAGTGCTTTGAAAGGCTGGTCATGGCTCACATCAACACCATCATCCCGGAAACCCTAGACCCACTCCAATTCGCATACCGCCCCAACAGATCCACAAGATGACGCAATCTCAATCGCACTCCACACTGCCCTTTCCCACCTGGACAAAAGGAACACCTATGTGTGAATGCTGTTCATTGACTACAGCTCAGCGTTCAACACCACAGTGCCCTCCAAGCTCATCACTAAGCTAAGGACCTTGGGACTAAACACCTCCCTCTGCAACTGGATCCTGGACTTCCTGACGGGCCGCCCCCAGGTGGTAAGGGTAGGCAACAACACATCTGCCATGCTGATCCTCAACACGGGGGCCCCTCAGGGGTGCGTGCTTAGTCCCCTCATGTACTCCCTGTTCACCCATGACTGTGTGGCCTAGCACGACTCCAACACCATCATTAAGTTTGCTGATGACACAACAATGGTAGGCCTGATCACCGACAACGATGAGACAGCCTATAGGGAGGAGGTCAGAGACCTGGCAGTGTGGTGTCAGGACAGCAACCTCTCCCTCAACGTGAGCAAGACAAAGGAGATGATCGTAGATTACAGGAAAAGGAGGGCCGAACACGCCCCCATTCACATCGACGGGGCTGTAGTGGAGCGGGTTGAGAGTTCCAAGTTCCTTGGTGTCCACATCACCAACAAACTATCACGGTCCAAACACACCAGTCGTGAAGAGGGCATGACAAAGCCTATTCCCCCTCAGGAGACTGAAAAGATTTGTCATGGGTCCCCAGATCCTCAAAAAGCTCTACAGCTGCACCATCGAGAGCATCCTGACCGGTTGCATCACCGCCTGGTATGGCAACTGCTCGGCATCCAACCGTACGGGGCTACAGAGGGTAGTGTGTACGGCCCAGTACATCACTGGGGCCAAGCTTCCTGCCATCCAGGACCTATATACTAGGCAGTGTCAGAGGAAGGCCCACATTTTTTTCCAAAACTCCAGTCACCCAAGTCATAGACTGTTCTCTCTGCTACCGCACGGCAAGCGGTACCGGAGCACCAAGTCTAGGTCCAAAAGGCTCCTTAACAGCTTCTACCCCCAAGCCATAAGACCGCTGAACAATTCATCAAATGGCCACCTGGACTATTTTCATTGAAACCCCCCCCCCCTTCATTTTTACACTGCTGCTACTCGCTGTTTATTATCACTTTACCCCTACCTACATGTACATATTACCTCAACTAACCTGTACCTCCGCAAATTGACTCTGTACCGGTACCCCCTGTATATAGCCTCGTTATTGCTATTTTATTGTGTTACTTTTTATTTAATTTTTTACTTTAATTTATTTAGTAAATATTTATGGAACTGCATTGCTGGTTAAGGGCTTGTAAGTAAGCATTTCAAGTAAGTATTCGGCACATGTGACAAATACAATTTGATTTGTAGTGATCTCAGGTGACTAGGGGTAGGGGTTAGGAGTCAGGATGAGGGGTTAGGGGTTAGGGGTAGGTAACTTACGTCTTTAGCCCGTAGTGACCTCAGGGACTAGGGGTCAGGGGTCAGGATGAGGGGAAGGTAACTTACGTCTTTAGCCCGTAGTGACCTCAGGGACTAGGGGTAGGGGTCAGGGGAAGGTAACTTACGTCTTTAGGCCATAGTGACCTCAGGGACTAGGGGTAGGGGTCAGGGGTCAGGGTGAGGGGTAGGTAACTTACGTCTTTAGCCCGTAGTGACCTCAGGGACTAGGGGTAGGAGTCAGGGGTCAGGATGAGGGGTAGGTAACTTACGTCTTTAGCCCGTAGTGACCTCAGGGACTAGGGGTAGGGGTCAGGATGAGGGGAAGGTAACTTACGTCTTTAGCCCGTAGTGACCTCAGGGACTAGGGGTAGGGGTCAGGGGGAAGGTAACTTACGTCTTTAGCCCGTAGTGACCTCAGGGACTAGGGGTAGGGGTCAGGGGTCAGGATGAGGTGTAGGTAACTTACGTCTTTAGCCCGTAGTGACCTCAGGGACTAGGGGTAGGGGTCAGGATGAGGGAAGGTAACTTACGTCTTTAGCCCGTAGTGACCTCAGGGACTAGGGTAGGGGTCAGGGGTCAGGGTGAGGGGTAGGTAACTTACGTCTTTAGCCCGTAGTGACCTCAGGGACTAGGGTAGGGGTCAGGAGTCAGGGTCAGGATGAGGGGTAGGTAACTTACGTCTTTAGCCCGTAGTGACCTCAGGGACTAGGGTAGGGGTCAGGGGTCAGGATGAGGGGAAGGTAACTTACGTCTTTAGCCCGTAGTGACCTCAGGTGACTAGGGGTAGGGGTCAGGGGTCAGGGTGAGGGGAAGGTAACTTACGTCTTTAGCCCGTAGTGACCTCAGGGACTAGGGGTAGGGGTCAGGGGTCAGGATGAGGGGAAGGTAACTTACGTCTTTAGCCCGTAGTGACCTCAGGGACTAGGGGTAGGGGTCAGGGGTCAGGGTGAGGGGTAAGGTAACTTACGTCTTTAGCCCGTAGTGACCTCAGGGACTAGGGGTAGGGGTCAGGGGTCAGGATGAGGTGTAGGTAACTTACGTCTTTAGCCCGTAGTGACCTCAGGTGACTAGGGGTAGGGGTCAGGGGTCAGGATGAGGTGTAGGTAACTTACGTCTTTAGCCCGTAGTGACCTCAGGGACTAGGGGTAGGGGTCAGGATGAGGGGAAGGTAACTTACGTCTTTAGCCCGTAGTGACCTCAGGGACTAGGGGTAGGGGTCAGGGGTCAGGGTGAGGGGTAGGTAACTTACGTCTTTAGCCCGTAGTGACCTCAGGGACTAGGGGTAGGGGTCAGGAGTCAGGGGTCAGGATGAGGTGTAGGTAACTTACGTCTTTAGCCCGTAGTGACCTCAGGGACTAGGGGTAGGGGTCAGGGGTCAGGATGAGGGGAAGGTAACTTACGTCTTTAGCCCGTAGTGACCTCAGGTGACTAGGGGTAGGGGTCAGGGGTCAGGGTGAGGGGAAGGTAACTTACGTCTTTAGCCCGTAGTGACCTCAGGGACTAGGGGTAGGGGTCAGGGGTCAGGATGAGGGGAAGGTAACTTACGTCTTTAGCCCGTAGTGACCTCAGGGACTAGGGGTAGGGGTCAGGGTCAGGGTGAGGGTAGGTAACTTACGTCTTTAGCCCGTAGTGACCTCAGGGACTAGGGGTAGGGGTCAGGGGTCAGGGTGAGGGGTAGGTAACTTACGTCTTTAGCCCGTAGTGACCTCAGGGACTAGGGGTAGGGGTCAGGGTGAGGGGTAGGTAACTTACGTCTTTAGCCCGTAGTGACCTCAGGGACTAGGGGTAGGGGTAGGGGTCAGGGATGAGGGGTAGGTAACTTACGTCTTTAGCCCGTAGTGACCTCAGGGACTAGGGGTAGGGGTCAGGGGTCAGGATGAGGGGTAGGTAACTTACTCTTTAGCCCGTAGTGACCTCAGGGACTAGGGGTAGGGGTAGGGGTCAGGGTAGGAGTGAGGGGTAGGTAACTTACGTCTTTAGCCCGTAGTGACCTCAGGGACTAGGGGTAGGGGTCAGGATGAGGGGTAGGTAACTTACGTCTTTAGGCCGTAGTGACCTCAGGGACTAGGGGTAGGGGTTAGGGGTCAGGATGAGGGGTAGGGGTAGGTAACTACGTCTTTAGCTCGTAGTGACTTCAGGGACTAGGGGTAGGGGTCAGGGGTCAGGATGAGGGGGTAGGTAACTTACGTCTTTAGCCCGTAGTGACCTCAGGGTGACTAGGGGTAGGGGTCAGGGGTCAGGGTGAGGGTTAGGGGTAGGTAACTTACGTCTTTAGCCCGTAGTGACCTCAGGGACTAGGGGTAGGGGTCAGGGGTCAGGGTGAGGGGTAGGTAAACTTACGTCTTTAGCCCGTAGTGACCTCAGGGACTAGGGGTAGGGGTCAGGGGTCAGGATGAGGGGTTAGGGGTAGGTAACTTACGTCTTTAGCTCGTAGTGACTTCAGGTGACTAGGGGTAGGGGTCAGGGGTCAGGATGAGGGGTAGGTAACTTACGTCTTTAGCCCGTAGTGACCTCAGGGACTAGGGGTAGGGGTCAGGGTCAGGTGAGGGTTAGGGGTAGGTAACTTACGTCTTTAGCCTGTAGTGACCTCAGGGACTAGGGGTAGGGGTCAGGGGTCAGGATGAGGGGTAGGTAACTTACGTCTTTAGCCCGTAGTGACCTCAGGGACTAGGGGTAGGGGTCAGGGGTCAGGGTGAGGGGTAGGTAACTTACGTCTTTAGCCCGTAGTGACCTCAGGGACTAGGGGTAGGGGTCAGGGGTCAGGGGATAGGTAACTTACGTCTTTAGCCGTAGTGACCTCAGGGACTAGGGGTAGGGGTCAGGGGTCAGGGTGAGGGGTAGGTAACTTACGTCTTTAGCCCGTAGTGACCTCAGGGACTAGGGGTAGGGGTCAGGGGTCAGGATGAGGGGTAGGTAAACTTACGTCTTTAGCCGTAGTGACTCAGGGACTAGGGGTAGGGGTCAGGGGTCAGGGTGAGGGGTAGGTAACTTACGTCTTTAGCCCGTAGTGACCTCAGGGACTAGGGGTAGGGGTCAGGGGTCAGGGTGAGGGGTAGGTAACTTACGTCTTTAGCCCGTAGTGACCTCAGGGACTAGGGGTAGGGGTCAGGGGTCAGGGTGAGGGGTAGGTAACTTACGTCTTTAGCCCGTAGTGACCTCAGGGACTAGGGGTAGGGGTCAGGGGTCAGGGATGAGGGGTAGGTAACTTACGTCTTTAGCCCGTAGTGACCTCAGGGACTAGGGGTAGGGGTCAGGGGTCAGGGTGAGGGGTAGGTAACTTACGTCTTTAGCCCGTAGTGACCTCAGGGACTAGGGGTAGGGGTCAGGGGTCAGGATGAGGGGTAGGTAACTTACGTCTTTAGCCCGTAGTGACCTCAGGGACTAGGGGTAGGGGTCAGGGGTCAGGGTGAGGGGTAGGTAACTTACGTCTTTAGCCCGTAGTGACCTCAGGGACTAGGGGTAGGGGTCAGGGGTCAGGATGAGGGGTAGGTAACTTACGTCTTTAGCCCGTAGTGACCTCAGGGACTAGGGGTAGGGGTTAGGGGTCAGGATGAGGGGTAGGTAACTTACGTCTTTAGCCCGTAGTGACCTCAGGGACTAGGGGTCAGGGGTCAGGGTGAGGGGTTAGGGGTAGGTAACTTACGTCTTTAGCCCGTAGTGACCTCAGGGACTAGGGGTAGGGGTCAGGATGAGGGGTAGGTAACTTACGTCTTTAGCCCGTAGTGACCTCAGGGACTAGGGGTAGGGGTCAGGGGTCAGGATGAGGGGTAGGTAACTTACGTCTTTAGCCCGTAGTGACCTCAGGTGACTAGGGGTAGGGGTCAGGGGTCAGGATGAGGGGTTAGGGGTAGGTAACTTACATCTTTAGCCCGTAGTGACCTCAGGGACTAGGGGTAGGGGTCAGGGGTCAGGGGTCAGGGTGAGGGGTAGGTAACTTACGTCTTTAGCCCGTAGTGACCTCAGGTGACTAGGGGTAGGAGTCAGGGGTCAGGATGAGGGGTAGGTAACTTACGTCTTTAGCCCGTAGTGACCTCAGGGACTAGGGGTAGGGGTAGGGGTCAGGATGAGGGGTAGGTAACTTACGTCTTTAGCCCGTAGTGACCTCAGGGACTAGGGGTAGGGGTCAGGGGTCAGGGTGAGGGGTAGGTAACTTACGTCTTTAGCCCGTAGTGACCTCAGGGACTAGGGGTAGGGGTCAGGGGTCAGGGTTGAGGGGTAGGTAACTTACGTCTTTAGCCCGTAGTGACCTCAGGGACTAGGGGTAGGGGGGTCAGGGATGAGGGGTAGGTAACTTACGTCTTTAGCCCGTAGTGACCTCAGGGACTAGGGGTAGGGTCAGGGGTCAGGTGAGGGGTAGGTAACTTACGTCTTTAGCCCGTAGTGACCTCAGGGACTAGGGGTAGGGGTCAGGATGAGGGGTAGGTAACTTACGTCTTTAGCCCGTAGTGACCTCAGGGACTAGGGGTAGGGGTCAGGGGTCAGGATGAGGGGTAGGTAACTTACGTCTTTAGCCCGTAGTGACCTCAGGTGACTAGGGGTAGGGGTCAGGGGTCAGGGGTCAGGGTGAGGGGTAGGTAACTTACGTCTTTAGCCCGTAGTGACCTCAGGGACTAGGGGTAGGGGTTAGGGGTCAGGGTGAGGTGTAGGTAACTTACGTCTTTAGCCCGTAGTGACCTCAGGTGGCTCTTCAGATCTCCTTTAGTCATCAGCTCCATGATGACCAAGGTGGGCTGGCCCTGCGAAACCACGCCCAGCAGACGCACCTGCACCAATCACAGCACACAATTGACATCAGTGGTCAGAGCCCACATCCTGAACTGACAGACAGATGTCAGAGATCACTTTGTGGGCTCCTTATTTGTTCACAGGAACATAAGACATGACAGGGTGTGTGGAGTTTTAGGTCAACATTTAGCCTCAGATGAGGTAACATTACGTCTTATGTTGTCTCAATGTACACTACCGTTCAAATGTTTGGGGTCACTTAGAAATGTCCTTGTTTTCGAAAGAAAAGCAAAATTTTTGGCCATTAAAATAACATCAAATTGATCAGAAATACAGTGTAGACATTGTTAATGTTGTAAATGGCTATTGTACCTGGAAACGGCTGATTTTTAATGGAGTATCTACATAGGCGTACAGAGGCCCATTATCAGCAACCATCAGTCCTGTGTTCCAATGGCACGTTGTGTTTGCTAATCCAAGTCTATCATTTAAAAAGACTAGTTGATCATTAGAAAACACGTTTGCAATTATGTTAGCACAGCTGAAAACTGTTGTGCTGATTAAAGAAGCAATAAAACTGGCCTTCTTGAGACTAGTTGAGTATCTGGAGCATCAGCAATTGTGGGTTCGATTACAGGTTCAAAATGGCCAGAAACAAATAACTTTCTTCTGAAACTCGTCAGTCTATTCTTGTTCTGAGAAATGAAGGCTATTCCATGCGAGCAATTGCCAAGAAACTGAAGATCTCGTACAACGCTGTGTACTACTCCCTTCACAGAACAGCGCAAACTGGCTTGAACGGGCTCTAACCAGCTAGAAAGAGGGTGAAAGACTGCATAGTGTCATTAACTTTACCCGAAAAACCAGTCTCAACGTCACAGCGCAAGAGGACATACTCCGAGGATGCTGTGACTCTTCAACTGGCAGCTCATATAGTCCCGCAAAACACAGTCTCACAGCAACAGCGAAAGGGCATCGGATGCTGATCTGCAGAGTTGCAAGAAAAAGCACATCTCAGACTGGCCGTGTTAAATGAAAAGATTAAGATGGGCAAAAGAACACAGACAGTGGACAGAGAAGCATTGGAAAAAGGGTTATGGACAGATGAATCGAAGTTTGAGGTGTTCGGATCAGACAAAGAGAACATTTGTGAGACGCAGACCAAATGAAAAGATGCTGGAGGAGTGCTTGATGCCATCTGTCAAGCATGGTGGAGGCAATGTGATGGTCTGGGGGTGCTTTGGTGGTGGTAAAGTGGGAGATTTGTACAGGGTAAAAGGGATCTTGAAGAAGGAAGGCTATCACTCCATTTTGCAACGCCATGCCATACCCTGTGGACGGCGCTTGATTGGAGCCAATTTCCTCCTACAACAGGACAATGACCCAAAGCACAGCTCCAAACTATGCAAGAACTATTTAGGGAAGAAGCAGTCAGTTGGTATTCTGTCTATAATGGAGTGGCCAGCACAGTCACCGGATCTCAACCCTATTGAGCTGTTGTGGGAGCAGCTTGACCGTATGGTACGTAAGAAGTGCCCATCAAGCCAATCCAACATGTGGGAGGTGCTTCAGGAAGCATGGGGTGAAATCTCTTCAGATTACCTCAACAAATTGACAACTAGAATGCCAAAGGTCTGCAAGGCTGTAATTGCTGCAAATGGAGGATTCTTTGACGAAAGCAAAGTTTGAAGGACACAATCATTATTTCTAACCTTGTCAATCACTACATTTCCTATGCATTTTGCTATATTTCCTATTCAAACCCATTTCATGTATGTTTTCATAGAAAACAAGGACATTTCTAAGTGACCCCAAACTTTTGAACGGCAACGTATCTCTCTGCTGTGTTGTGTGGTGTTGTGTGTGTGTGCATCTCTCCTGCGTCGTACCACGTGATGACAGTTGAACTCCTTCATGACAGAAGCTTCATTGAGGAACTCTATTCTCTCTCTCATGCTGGCTGACTCGTTCACCGTCTTAATGGCCACGCACGTCTCTGGCTCGCCCTTGACTACTCCCTTAGCGATGCCCTCGTACACCATGCCAAACGACCCCTGACCCAGCTCTCTGTTCATAGTGATCTGCTCCCTCAACACCTCCCATTCATCTGGTACATACACTGGGAGAGACAGGAGGAGAGGACGGGGTTAATGGAAAAGGGTATCACACACTACACAACTCACAGTACCACACACTACACAACTCACAGTACCACACACTACACAACTCACAGTACCACACACTACACAACTCACAGTACCACACACTACACAACTCACAGTACCACACACTACACAACTCACAGTACCACACAACCTGAGTGCAAAGCTGTCATCAAGGCAAGGGGTGGCTATTTGAAGAATCTCAAATATAAAAATTATTATATGATTTGTTTAACACTTTTTTGGTTACTACATGATTCCATATGTGTTATTTCATAGTTTTGATGTCTTCACCATTATTCTATAATGTAGAAAATAGTAAAAATAAAGAAAAACCCTGGAATGAGGAGGTGTTCTAATACTTTTGACCGGAGGTGTACATGTACTTCCTCTCTGTCTCCATCAGGGGATATGGTCAGAGACAACATGTACTTCCTCTCTGTCTCCATCAGGGGATATGGTCAGAGACAACATGTACTTCCTCTCTGTCTCCATCAGGGGATATGGTCAGAGACAACATGTACTTACTCTCTGCAGCGCTGAAGTATTCAGGGTTGACTGATGCGTACAGAACTCCATTCCCCAGTCTATCACTGTTCCTGTACACACACACACACACACACACACACACACACACACACACACACACACACACACACAGACACAGACAAACACACACACACACACACACACACACAGGGTTAGCAGCGTTACACAGCATCCCAAACTGCACCCTATATAGTGCACTGCCCTGTGGGCTATGGTCAAAAGTAGTGCACTATTTAGGGAACCTTCCAACTAATGATGGCTCACCTCACACTACCTAGAGAGACAGCCTGTCATTTACTAAAGAACCTTCCAGCTAATGATAGCTCACCTCACACTACCTAGAGAGACAGCCTGTCATTTACTAAAGAACCTTCCAACTAATGATAGCTCACCTCACACTACCTAGAGAGACAGCCTGTCATTTACTAAACAACCTTCCAGCTAATGATAGCTCACCTCACACTACCTAGAGAGACAGCCTGTCATTTACTAAATAACCTTCCAACTAATGATGGCTCACCCCACACGACCTAGAGAGACAGCCTGTTATTTACTAAAGAACCTTCCAGCTAATGATAGCTCACCTCACACTACCTAGAGACAGCCTGTCATTTACTAAAGAACCTTCCAACTAATGATAGCTCACCTCACACTACCTAGAGAGACAGCCTGTCATTTACTAAAGAACCTTCCAACTAATGATGGCTCACCTCACACTACCTAGAGAGACAGCCTGTCATTTACTAAAGAACCTTCCAGCTAATGATAGCTCACCCCACACGACCTAGAGAGACAGCCTGTCATTTACTAAACAACCTTGCAGCTAATGATAGCTCACCCCACACTACCTAGAGAGACAGCCTGTCATTTACTAAACAACCTTCCAGCTAATGATAGCTCACCCCACACTACCTAGAGAGACAGCCTGTCATTTACTAAAGAACCTTCCAACTAATGATGGCTCACCTCACACTACCTAGAGAGACAGCCTGTCATTTACTAAACAACCTTCCAACTAATGATAGCTCACCTCACACTACCTAGAGACAGCCTGTCATTTACTAAACAACCTTCCAACTAATGATAGCTCACCCCACACTACCTAGAGAGACAGCCTGTCATTTACTAAACAACCTTCCAGCTAATGATAGCTCACCCCACACGACCTAGAGAGACAGCCTGTCATTTACTAAAGAACCTTCCAGCTAATGATAGCTCACCTCACACTACCTAGAGAGACAGCCTGTCATTTACTAAAGAACCTTCCAACTAATGATAGCTCACCTCACACTACCTAGAGAGACAGCCTGTCATTTACTAAAGAACCTTCCAGCTAATGATAGCTCACCTCACACTACCTAGAGAGACAGCCTGTCATTTACTAAAGAACCTTCCAGCTAATGATGGCTCACCTCACACTACCTAGAGAGACAGCCTGTCATTTACTAAAGAACCTTCCAGCTAATGATAGCTCACCTCACACTACCTAGAGAGACAGCCTGTCATTTACTAAAGAACCTTCCAACTAATGATAGCTCACCTCACACTACCTAGAGAGACAGCCTGTCATTTACTAAAGAACCTTCCAGCTAATGATAGCTCACCTCACACTACCTAGAGAGACAGCCTGTCATTTACTAAAGAACCTTCCAACTAATGATAGCTCACCTCACACTACCTAGAGAGACAGCCTGTCATTTACTAAAGAACCTTCCAGCTAATGATAGCTCACCTCACACTACCTAGAGAGACAGCCTGTCATTTACTAAAGAACCTTCCAACTAATGATAGCTCACCTCACACTACCTAGAGAGACAGCCTGTCATTTACTAAAGAACCTTCCAGCTAATGATAGCTCACCCCACACGACCTAGAGAGACAGCCTGTCATTTACTAAAGAACCTTCCAGCTAATGATAGCTCACCTCACACTACCTAGAGAGACAGCCTGTCATTTACTAAAGAACCTTCCAACTAATGATAGCTCACCTCACACTACCTAGAGAGACAGCCTGTCATTTACTAAAGAACCTTCCAGCTAATGATAGCTCACCCCACACGACCTAGAGAGACAGCCTGTCATTTACTAAAGAACCTTCCAGCTAATGATAGCTCACCTCACACTACCTAGAGAGACAGCCTGTCATTTACTAAAGAACCTTCCAACTAATGATAGCTCACCTCACACTACCTAGAGAGACAGCCTGTCATTTACTAAAGAACCTTCCAGCTAATGATAGCTCACCCCACACTACCTAGAGAGACAGCCTGTCATTTACTAAAGAACCTTCCAGCTAATGATAGCTCACCCCACACGACCTAGAGAGACAGCCTGTCATTTACTAAAGAACCTTCCAGCTAATGATAGCTCACCTCACACTACCTAGAGAGACAGCCTGTCATTTACTAAAGAACCTTCCAACTAATGATAGCTCACCTCACACTACCTAGAGAGACAGCCTGTCATTTACTAAAGAACCTTCCAGCTAATGATAGCTCACCCCACACTACCTAGAGAGACAGCCTGTCATTTACTAAAGAACCTTCCAGCTAATGATAGCTCACCTCACACTACCTAGAGAGACAGCCTGTCATTTACTAAAGAACCTTCCAACTAATGATAGCTCACCTCACACTACCTAGAGAGACAGCCTGTCATTTCCTAAAGAACCTTCCAGCTAATGATAGCTCACCTCACACTACCTAGAGAGACAGCCTGTCATTTCCTAAAGAACTTTCCAACTAATGATGGCTCACCTCACACTACCTAGAGAGACAGCCTGTCATTTACTAAAGAACCTTCCAACTAATGATAGCTCACCTCACACTACCTAGAGAGACAGCCTGTCATTTCCTAAAGAACCTTCCAGCTAATGATAGCTCACCTCACACTACCTAGAGAGACAGCCTGTCATTTACTAAAGAACCTTCCAACCCTCTGTATTAAAGTGTGAAAAACAGCTTTCTATTACAGAAGTGGTATTAAACATCTCAGAGTGAAAACACACCTCTCTGCTACCACACACACACTATATATAACCACACTACAGCCACGTTCAGCTCAATGACGCTGTCGCTGCCTGGTTTTAGGACTGACGTAGACAGGGACAGACAGACAGACAGTCTTACTTCTTCCTGTTGAAGATGGTGAATGTGGCCAGTAGACAGATGATCAGGACTGCTACCATGGGAACAACGATCATGATGTAGAGATAGTTCTCATAACCTGGTGGAGCAGGAGAGACACATTTAATACAGGTGTTACATACTCTGGTGTTAACATGTGATAAGGTATTACATACACTCTAGTGTTAACATGTGATAAGGTATTACATACACTCTGGTGTTAACATGTGATAAGGTATTACATACACACTGGTGTTAACATGTGATAAGGTATTACACACTCTGGTGTTAACATGTGATAAGGTATTACATACACTCTGGTGTTAACATGTGATAAGGTATTACATACACACTGGTGTTAACATGTGATAAGGTATTACATACACTCTGGTGTTAACATGTGATAAGGTATTACATACACTCTGGTGGTAACTAACTAACATGTGATAAGGTATTACATACACTCTGGTGTTAACATGTGATAAGGTATTACATACACTCTGGTGTTAACATGTGATAAGGTATTACATACACTCTGGGGTTAACATGTGATAAGGTATTACATACACTCTGGTGTTAACATGTGATAAGGTATTACATACACTCTGGTGGTAACTAACTAACATGTGATAAGGTATTACATACACTCTGGTGTTAACATGTGATAAGGTATTACATACACTCTGGTGTTAACATGTGATAAGGTATTACATACACTCTGGGGTTAACATGTGATAAGGTATTACATACACTCTGGTGGTAACTAACTAACATGTGATAAGGTATTACATACACTCTGGTGTTAACATGTGATAAGGTATTACATACACTCTGGTATTAACATGTGATAAGGTATTACATACTCTGGTGTTAACATGTGATAAGGTATTACATACACACTGGGGTTAACATGTGATAAGGTATTACATACTCTGGTGTTAACATGTGATAAGGTATTACATACACTCTGGGGTTAACATGTGATAAGGTATTACATACACACTGGGGTTAACATGTGATAAGGTATTACATACTCTGGTGTTAACATGTGATAAGGTATTACATACACTGGTGTTAACATGTGATAAGGTATTACATACACTGGTGTTAACATGTGATAAGGTATTACATACTCTGGTGTTAACATGTGATAAGGTATTACATACACTCTGGTGTTAACATGTGATAAGGTATTACATACTGTGGTGTTAACATGTGATAAGGTATTACATACACTCTGGTGTTAACATGTGATAAGGTATTACATACTCTGGTGTTAACATGTGATAAGGTATTACATACACTCTGGTGTTAACATGTGATAAGGTATTACATACACTCTGGTGTTAACATGTGATAAGGTATTACATACACTCTGGTGGTAACTAACTAACATGTGATAAGGTATTACATACACTGGTGTTAACATGTGATAAGGTATTACATACACTCTAGTGTTAACTAACATGTGATAAGGTATTACATACACACTGGTGTTAACATGTGCTAAGGTATTACATACACACTGGTGTTAACAAACTAACATGTGATAAGGTATTACATACACTCTGGGGTTAACATGTGATAAGGTATTACATACACTCTGGGGTTAACATGTGATAAGGTATTACATACACTCTGGTGTTAACATGTGATAAGGTATTACATACACACTGGTGTTAACATGTGATAAGGTATTACATACACTCTGGTGTTAACATGTGATAAGGTATTACATACACTCTGGTGTTAACATGTGATAAGGTATTACATACACTCTGGTGTTAACATGTGATAAGGTATTACATACACTCTGGTGTTAACATGTGATAAGGTATTACATACTCTGGTGTTAACATGTGATAAGGTATTACATACACTCTGGTGTTAACATGTGATAAGGTATTACATACTCTGGTGTTAACATGTGATAAGGTATTACATACACACTGGTGGTAACTAACTAACATGTGATAAGGTATTACATACACTGGTGTTAACATGTGATAAGGTATTACATACACTCTGGTGGTAACTAACTAACATGTGATAAGGTATTACATACACTCTGGTGTTAACATGTGATAAGGTATTACATACACTCTGGTGTTAACATGTGATAAGGTATTACATACACTCTGGTGTTAACATGTGATAAGGTATTAAATACACTCTGGTGTTAACATGTGATAAGGTATTACATACACACTGGTGGTAACTAACTAACATGTGATAAGGTATTACATACACTGGTGTTAACATGTGATAAGGTATTACATACACTCTGGTGGTAACTAACTAACATGTGATAAGGTATTACATACACTCTGGTGTTAACATGTGATAAGGTATTACATACACTCTGGTGGTAACTAACTAACATGTGATAAGGTATTACATACACTCTGGTGTTAACATGTGATAAGGTATTACATACACTGGTATTAACTAACATGTGATAAGGTATTACATACACTGGTATTAACTAACATGTGATAAGGTATTACATACACTGGTATTAACTAACATGTGTTAAGGTATTACATACACTGGTATTAACTAACATGTGATAAGGTATTACATACACTGGTATTAACTAACATGTGATAAGGTATTACATACACTGGTATTAACTAACATGTGATAAGGTATTACATACACTGGTATTAACTAACATGTGATAAGGTATTACATACACTGGTATTAACTAACATGTGTTAAGGTATTACATACACTGGTATTAACTAACATGTGATAAGGTATTACATACACTGGTATTAACTAACATGTGTTAAGGTATTACATACACTGGTATTAACTAACATGTGTTAAGGTAAGACGGCATTCATCAACAAGTGTTCAAGGTGATTATTAGTGTCACGCCCTGGCTCTGGGGACTCTAATATGTTGAGCCAGGGTGTGTAAAGTATATGTGTTTTGTTCTAGGTTTCACATTCTAGTATTGTTTGTCTATGTTGGCCAGTGTGGTTCTCAATCAGAGGCAACGTGATTCAGCTGTTGCTTGTTGTCTCTGATTGAGAACCATACTTTAGCAGCCTGTTTCCCCACAGAGTTTGTGGGATCTTGTTTCTAGTCTGTTGTGTTAGACCGTGAACTGTCACGTTATCGTTTTGTTGTTTTTTGATCGTGTCTCTAATAAAGAGTATGTTTGCCTGCAACGCTGTGCCTTGGTCCTCATCTCTGTTAGACGATCGTGACAGAAGATCCCACCAGAACTGGACCAAGCAGCCTAGTGAGGAGCAGAGAGGGTGGACTTGGGAACAGTGGAGGAAGAGCTTCGACTGGGTCAAGCCGAATGAGGAGCTGAATGGCGGGAATTGGAAGCAGAAGAGCGAGAGTTGGGCGAGAACTATAGAGGCCTGGCCCACGGGGAAGAGAGACTCCCAGAAATTTTTTAGGGGGGGGGCTCACGACGTCGGGGCAGCAGGAGGCCGCGATAGAGCGGCCCAGCGGGTTGGCAGAGGAGGCCGCCAGGTTACGGGGGCCACTGGTCGAAGAGGGGATGGAAGGTGTAGAGGCACGGCGAGAGGTACTGGGGTGTGTTGCCAGTCCGGTCCGGCCTGTTCCTGATCCCCACGTAGGGCCAGTGGTGTGTGTTCCCAGTACGGTCCGGCCTGTTCCTGCCACTCGCACCAAGTCTACGGTGCGCGTCGCCAGCTCGGCCCGGCTGTTCCTACTCCCCGCACCAAGCCTGTGGTGCGCTTCGTCAGCCCGGTCCGGCCCGCTCCTGCTCCCCGCACCAAGTCAGTGGTGCGTTTCGTCAGCCCGGTCCGGCCCGCTCCTGCTCCCCGCACCAAGTCAGTGGTGCGTTTCGTCAGCCCAGCTCGGCCCGTTCCTGCTCCCCGCACCAAGTCAGTGGTGCGTTTCGTCAGCCCGGTCCGGCCCGCTCCTGCTCCCCGCACCAAGTCAGTGGTGCGTTTCGTCAGTCCGGCTCGGCCCGCTCCTGCTCCCCGCACCAAGTCAGTGGTGCGTTTCGTCAGGCCGGCTCGGCCCGCTCCTGCTCCCCCACACCAAGCCAGTGGTGTGCGTCGTCAGTCCGGCACGGCCCGTGCCTGTTCCACCGGTGGCTGGTCCGGCACCGGTCAGATGCTTCACGCCAGAGCTAGAGCAATCCGCTCCACCAGTGTGCAGTCCAGCTCCGGCCAGCGGGGCCAGACCGGACCAGGGGTACTTTGGGGGGTTGGAGAGGGAGCGGGGATCAGGCCCGGAGCCGGATCCGCCGCCTAAGCGGAGTGCCCACCCGGTCCCTCCCCTGTGGTATTTGGTGGGCGCGGTCGGAGTCCGCGCCTTTAGGGGGGGGTACTGTCATGCCCTGGCTCTGGGGACTCTAATATGTTGAGCCAGGGTGTGTAAAGTATATGTGTTTTGTTCTAGGTTTCACATTCTAGTATTGTTTGTCTATGTTGGCCAGTGTGGTTCTCAATCAGAGGCAACGTGATTCAGCTGTTGCTTGTTGTCTCTGATTGAGAACCATACTTTAGCAGCCTGTTTCCCCACAGAGTTTGTGGGATCTTGTTTCTAGTCTGTTGTGTTAGACCGTGAACTGTCACGTTATCGTTTTGTTGTTTTTTGATCGTGTCTCTAATAAAGAGTATGTTTGCCTGCAACGCTGCGCCTTGGTCCTCATCTCTGTTAAACGATCGTGACAATTAGACTTTATACGGGTGGGTCTAATCCTGAATGCTGATTGGTTAAAACAGCATTCAAGACAGTGTCTATTCCACAAGTTACCACCGGCTAAATCTATGACGTTAAAATGCCTATTTACTCTGTTCCATCTGACTGCGCAATCCACTGTCTCAGCAGCCCAGCCAGGCAATTTATAAACTTGATTTCCACTATAAAAAGCATATAGACGTTATCTCACATTTCTTTTAGACCAACATTTAGTTTAACAGCGGAGATTTGTATATACCTTGCTGTCTGTCTCTCAGCCAGTATGGCAATGGAACATTTAGAATGAACGACTGGGTCGCGTCCATAGATACAGAACAAAAAGACTGACCGACTGGGTCGCGTCCATAGATACAGAACAAAAAGACTGACCGACTGGGTCGCGTCCATAGATACAGAACAAAAAGACTGGACCCGACTGGGTCGAGTCCATAGATACAGAACAAAAAGACTGACCGACTGGGTCGCGTCCATAGATACAGAACAAAAAGACTGAACGACTGGGTCGCGTCCATAGATACAGAACAAAAAGACTGAACGACTGGGTCGCGTCCATAGATACAGAACAAAAAAGACTGAACGACTGGGGTAGCGTCCATAGATACAGAACAAAAAGACTGAACGACTGGGTCGCGTCCATAGATACAGAACAAAAAGACTGACCGACTGGGTCGCGTCCATAGATACAGAACAAAAAGACTGAACGACTGGGTCGCGTCCATAGATACAGAACAAAAAGACTGAACGACTGGGTCGCGTCCATAGATACAGAACAAAGACTGAACGACTGGGTCGCGTCCATAGATACAGAACAAAAAGACTGAACGGACTGGGTAGCGTCCATAGATACAGAACAAAAAAGACTGAACGACTGGGTAGCGCCCATAGATACAGAACAAAAAGACTGACCGACTGGGTCGCGTCCATAGATACAGAACAAAAAAGACTGAACGACTGGGTCGCGTCCATAGATACAGAACAAAAAGACTGAACGACTGGGTCGCGTCCATAGATACAGAACAAAAAGACTGAACGACTGGGTCGCGTCCATAGATACAGAACAAAAAGACTGAACGACTGGGTCGCGTCCATAGATACAGAACAAAAAGACTGAACGACTGGGTCGCGTCCATAGATACAGAACAAAAAGACTGAACGACTGGGTCGCGTCCATAGATACAGAACAAAAAGACTGAACGACTGGGTCGCGTCCCATAGATACAGAACAAAAAGACTGAACGACTGGGTAGCGTCCATAGATACAGACACAAAAGACTGAACGACTGGGTCGCGTCCATAGATACAGAACAAAAAGACTGAACGACTGGGTCGCGTCATAGATACAGAACAAAAGATGAACGACGGGGTCGCGTCCATAGATACAGAACAAAAAGACTGAACGACTGGGTCGCGTCCATAGATACAGAACAAAAAGACTGAACGACTGGGTCGCGTCTCTGGCAACCGAACCAATAGAACGAACGACCAGCCGGCTTGGGTAGCAACCCTAGATTTGCGTCGGGACTATATATTGTGGAAGGATTAATAGTATGAATAAATCGATCAAAATAAAGTTTTAAATGAAAATATGTCAATCAATATTAATATGTGGTAGAAGTTGTATAAAAGTGATAATGCCCTCTTGCCAATATATCCTCCAAACACTGGCTTCTCTGGCATATCACTGAAATACACCGAGTATACTAAACATTAGGAACGCCTTCCTAAACACCTTCCCTTTTTTACCCCCAGCCTCAATTTGTCGGGGGCCGTGAACTCTACAGGTGTTGGGAAAACGTTCCACAGGGATGCTGGCCCATGTTGACTCCAATGCTTCCCACGGGGATGCTGGCCCATGTTGACTCCAATGCTTCCCACAGGATGCTGGCCCATGTTGACTCCAATGCTTCCCACGGGGATGCTGGCCATGTTGACTCCAATGCTTCCCACAGGGATGCTGGCCCATGTTTGACGCCTATGCTTCCCACAGGGATGATGGCCCATGTTGACTCCAATGCTTAACCCACAGTTGTGTCAATTTGGCTGGATGTCCTTTGGGTGGGGGGACCATTCTTGATACACACGGAAAACTGTTGAATGTGAAAACCCAGCAGCGTTACAGTTGTGAAGCAAACCGGAGCGCCTGGCACCTACTACCATACCCCCGTTCAAAGCACTCAAATCTTTTGTCTTGCTCATTCACCTCTGAATGGCACACATACACAATCCATGTCTCAATTGTCTCAAGGCTTTAAAAGTCCTTCTTTAACCTGTCTCCTCCCCTTATCTACCTGATTTAATGTTTAACAGTGGCATTTGGCTTTTGCGGTCACCGTATTAACCGCCACACACCGCGTCACGAGTCATTTTTAAGCATCAAATTTCACATGCCATTGGCCAGGCTTGGGCGTGCCGGCCGCGACCGGGAGACCATGGGGCGGCACAACAAATTGGCCCCGCGTCGTCCAGGGTATGGGAAAGGAAATGTGGCCAGGGATGTAGCTCAGTTTGGGGAGCTGGCGTTTGCAAGCCAGGGTTTGTGGGTTCGATTCCCATGGGGGCCAGTATGAATAATAAAAAAAAAATAATGATGCACTCACTAACTGTAAGTTGCTCTGGATAAGAGCGTCTGCTAAATGACGTAAATGTACATGTGTCACGGGAATTAGGCTTCTCCAAGCTCTGATGCTGCTGATGGTCCCTTAGTAGCCTACCAAACCTGCTAACTGCCTGGTACTCAGCACTCTATTGTCCCTCTAATCACTCTGACATCAATGCAAATGTCTTTCGAAAATCTAATCAAACGCTTCATGAGAGCTAATGAGTTCATGTTGCGCAACAGTCTTAGGCTCTGAGTAGGGAGAAAACAAGTGATGGCCTCTATTAAAAAGAGGTCCCTCAGCTTTTATAGGCCCTACTTATTATTCTAACTTTCCCCTATTAAGCACTTGCTTCTTTTACAACAAGTATAGCCTACCCGGCGGCATGAAAATAAACCACGGGAAAACGTCCTCCCGCTATTGGCT